CAGCGTAAATCCATTTCCATTGATGTAACACCAGTTTTCTAATGCTGTCATGACAGTAGCAATGCCAGGTTGCAAAGAGGATTTGATGTAGGTTGAAAGTCTGTCAGCTAGTGCAGAAAGTTTACATGCTGCTGAGCCAGCTTAAGTACCTGTTGTAGAGGACAAATCCCTTATTCTTTGGCTCAGTTTCCACTTAAGAAGTCTACATAGGATGAATCCGTTAATATTAATTTCCTTTACATACTTTTAAAGAAAAATAGCCTATACATATATATATGTATCGTTAGTTGATTCATGAAGTCCTACCAATCATTTTTGGTATCTGCAGACATTTTTTAGTGATTTGTGCTGTAATGTAAAATCCTGTCATCCCTTGGTAGATTCTGAATATGCGTCTGCTATAATACAGTCTAACAGTTTTATTTATGACTGTCCTTTGGAGACTCCAGCAACTGTATGCAGTCAAGATTGTTCAAGCCATTATAGTACAAGATTGTGTTACAGTGATTTGAATGGATCAAAGTTCTTTCATATCCGAAAGAGAAATGTATTGATAGACACTGTTCTACAACATAGGAGGACAAAGGTGTTACTTTAATCTCCCAGACAGACCGCTGTATTTTCTCAAGCAACACTGTTGCAAGCAATAAAACGCATAAGGACTAAAGGTACTAGTGCAAAAAAAAAGTATAGGAATTACTTTTTTTAATGTGAAATATTCTATATTAACTCAGGTACTTTTAAAAGCCTTATCCTCTGTTTGGGGATATTAAGCAATTTAAATATTGGGGCATTCCTTCAATTTCCCTCCTTGAAAAATACCTGGACCTTACAAAACAGTCTATTAAAGTCAATCTTACGTTTCTGATATTATACCTAGAGTTCACTTTGTGGTAGTCCTTCATTGTAAACTTCATCCTTCACATTTTATCTACAGAAGTTCATTTTTATTAGGAATATCAAAGACTGCAGCTGTGCAACTCTTTTGAAAACACTTAAGAGCTTGTAGTACTTCCAAAATATACCAAACTTAAAAAAAAAAAGTAATAAAAATATAGAAATATGTAAAGCTTTTCCCCTGGAAGTGAAAAATTAAGGAGTGCTGACAATATTTTATAACCACAGATTTAAGCATTTGAATAAACTTGGGAAAATTATTACTTTTCATGGTCACTGATCACAAAAGCATCTTTGCTCAACAAAACAGGTGATGAGGCTCCTTTGAGGTCAGCGCATGCTTAAAGACTAATGTTTATTTAAGGGTTTTGCTGATGTGAATCTTTCTGCAATTACCATTTAATGTGATTGTGTTAACAATGCACAGTAATGTCTGTTTGTTCAAGAAGAAATTTTGTGCTTACAGACTTGTAACACTTGAGAGTATGTGGAGCTAACACAGTATTTATGCAACAGGACAGAAGTACTGTGAAGTGCCATTGCTGGGCTGGGCAAACCAAGTGCATAAATAACATAGAAAAACACAATCTTGACAGCAAATGGTGTCTGGCCATTTTCCTTAAAAGATTAAAAGTTCTGTTCTTGATTATTTCTTTAATTTGCATATGTTTGTATTCTGAACCAAAACTAAACTAAACTACTTTTTCTTGTATATCCATCTTTATTTCATTTAGTCAGCAGCGTACCATTTAAATCTGCATGGTTTTCTAGGGAAGATCATACTATCAAGGGAAAATTGAACACACACACACACACACACGAAAACAAAGCGCAGTTGAGACTAGACATAGGCCAGTAATTGATATTTTAAGTTGCATGTGACACTCTTTCCTTGTTCCGTTGCACTGCATTTAGATATTGTATGGCTCTCCAGACATGCTATGCATAATTTTACATACCATCTGCTTTACATGCCAGGTTCCATATGTACAATGTATAACCTAAAACCAATATTTTGATTGATTTGAGCTACAGTGGAGGCTTTTGTTCTTAAATTGCTGGATAGAAGAGAATAGTCCTAAATAAATTATCTGACAAATATGTTCTAGGATTAACAAACAATCAAATTTATTTTGAAAAAGTTTTTAAAGGTGTAATAATTACAAAATTCAGGTCACTTTCAACAATCCCACTAATACTGCTTCCTAGATTCAAATACTAAGAGACCTGTAAACACTTGCTACCATTCACTTAGCAGCTATAGCAATACAGTGGCATAAACATGTTTCAGAGTCAAGCAAGGGACAGCAAAATAGTCTAGAAAAAGACATATCTGAATAAAGATGAACACCACTTATTCCTCAAAACAGGATGAGGTTGATAAAGATGCTAAAAGTGAGTAATGGATATTTAGAATCATGTGTTGGAGATTCCTGGTACTTCATTATCTGGCTTCTTTCAACCCATTTGGGTTTTAAATACCCAAATCTTTTATATTCTTCAGTTACAGGTAAGCCTAAAAAACCTAACTTTCTGGTTTGGAGATGCTGTCCACAAGAACATCTGGCTGCATTTCCATAGGCTTGTATGAAGAATAAGTACTGGAACACCAAAATGAAAAGAATCTCAAACGATGGCTCTCAGGAACAAAAGTGAAGATTTATGCAAACAGATATCCTCATTTTTTGGAACTGCTGGCTGTCTTCATCCAAGCAAGCAAAGAGGATTAAGCATTGCTTTGGACCTTAAAAAAACCACCACCACCACCACCCCCCAAAAAAACCCAGTCCAAAACTCTTAATATAGAAATAATCACCATATTTTTTACATTTGACTTGAAATGAAAGTATTAGCCACAAAAATAGACTGTGGCATTATAGTGTGTTAGCAAACAGCAGATAGAGTAAACAATACAGGAAGCAACAAAGCAGCTCAAAGAAATTTTTTTCTCCATGCAGTGTCCCATAAAATACATACCCTTCACCTCCGTATACGGCACATGGTAAAAGCAACATTTGAATTCACAAGGAAATTGGGAAGGAACCTGTAATATGACTTTTTAAGAAGGAGCTGTCTGTCTTCCCTATGTAATTCCAAGGAGAAAAGATACAATCAGTGAAGGATTTGTCCGTTTCACAGGGTTTTTTCTTTCCATTGTAACGCGAACGTTTTAATCTGCTCACAGTTAAGTATCGGTGGCACATTCAGTTCAATTCAGTGACAATTCCACCAGATGCCTACAAATAAAGCTGAACAAGAGATGCAATACCTCAAACTTTTTTTTATACTTGCCTATTAACACACACTTGTGCTTAGAAGGGAAACACTATTATTGGAAAAACTGAGAAAGGTTATTTTTCTTGTCAATGCAATAGTCACATTCTTCATGGAGTATGGGCATAATTCTGACACTTGACAACTTGTTGACTATATGCAGCATTTTCTGGGTTCTTTCAAGATTCAGATTTCAAAAAAATGTTAAAGCGTGTCTTCACACTTTCTTTTTTAAGGCATTCCAAGCAATTGGAAGTGGTTGGTCAGGTTACAGCCATAAGACTAGCTTTTTCTCTTTGAATATCAATATTTTCACTTGGTGTTTCATTACGTATCTGACTGCTCCCAATCTAAATACCTCACTGAAGAGATGTTTTGTGAACTTGAACTTCCATTTGCTAATGGATTATTTTTGCATAAAATCCTCCTTGTAGTCCATATTAATATGGACATTTTAATTATTAATCACAAGCACTCCTTCTTATTTGTATCTGTATGGTGAAAGAGTTCTTAGAAATGGAATGAGAAATTAATGTACATTTAGATTTTCCTCCTCCCTGGAGGGAGGGTGTTCATGAGTTAAATGCTTACGCAATACCTTTCCTTACAAACTGTACCACATTTCTCTTGTTACTTCTCTATTGAACCTTTCTGGGCCTGATCCACAGGCCACTGCAGTCAATGGGAGCTCATCCAATTGTCTCAATAGTCTCCCTCTGCCTCCAGCTTTTTAGGGAGAAAAAAAAGATACACAGCACTGGAAAAGTATAAGGTACTAATTTAGTAATACTTTATAAAGTCTGTGGGTAAAACAATCTTCTTCAGTCCATCTTGATATCAAACATGTCAAGAAATCATTCCAGTATTTCACCACTGCAAAGTGGGAATGAAAATCTAGAAGGTGCTCCTGACACAGTGCAGTTAAACATCTTTGGTGAAAAAGCTATCTTTTGAAAACGAAGGGTTTTTTTATACATCTCTCTCACTTTGCTATCTCTCAGCCTTCTGCCTAGTCGCTTTTATTTGAAAAGTATTCGGTATTGGCCAAAAGCTTCTTCCTCTGAAGTCAATTGGGAGTTTTGCCATTGACTTCAGTGGGAGAGTTATCATACCCAGGATGCAAAAAACACAGCGGGGAAAGACAGCGTCAAAGTAGACATTGTAAAAGTAAGAAAAAAAAAAAAATACATTATTTAGAAAAATCCACTTAAAAAATCTTCAGCAGGTCTTACATATGTTTCCCACCAACGGCACCGGGCAGCCCAGGAAAACAAAACCCCCTTTTCCCGGTGTCCCCGGCATTCGGTAAACGGAATCGATCCCCATCCTGCCAGGAGCTCCCCCGAGCGCCAACCCCAGCGCAGCAGAGCCGCGCACTCATTAGACAGCAAACATTTTGCAAACATTAAGTTTTCCCCGGAGCCCCCTGCAGCGCACGGGAGGGAGCAGCCGGGACGGGGAGCGGGCAGGGGAGCTACCGGCGCCCCCCCCGCCGCCCCGCCGGGGCTCCGCTCGCCGCCCCTGCCCGCTGCCCTCCGCAGGTGAGGCTCCCGCCGGGGCTCCCTCTCTGCCCGGACGGCGGCACCGCGGCTCCCGAAACACCGGACGGCGCTGGCAGCCCCCGGGGAGAGCTGGCCAAAACCGAGGAGGGGCGAAGCGGGGGCGCAGTCCCCTGGGCGCCCCGGGGGCACCGTGCCCTTCGCGCCCCGGACCCAGCAAGGCGCGGAGCGGAGGCGCCGAGGAGGGGAACCCCCAGCACGGCACCCTCCACACCTTCCCCGTCCCCCGGGGGGGGGGACCCCGGCGCGGCGCGGAGCCCCGTTACTCACCGCGGTGCTGCGGGAAGTGCCCCCGCCCCGGCCGGTGCCCGCTGCGCTGCACAGACCCCGGCCCTTCGGCGCCCACATCCAAGCCCCGGCCGCGCAGCCTAAAAGTCCTTCTGAGGAGCACCCGGCGAGCCCCGCCGCCTCCCGCCTCGGATGGCTGTCATCTCCCCTCCCCTCGCTCCCCCCGCGCCCCCCCTCGGCGGTCGGCAGCGTTATAAAGCGGTCCCTAACCCGTCACATCACGCACCGGCAGAGATGCCGGTCCTCGCCGCTACTTACCGGGCATCCTTCAGAGCGGCGGGCGGGCGGGAGCGAGGGAGGAGGAGGAGGAGGGAGGGAAGGAAGGAAGGAAGGTGGGAGGGGGCTGCGCGGCGCGGCGCTGCGCTGCGCGGCAGCCTGGGCAGCTCGGCGGAGCGCTGCGAGTCAGCGAGCGGGCGGCTGGGTGCGTGTGTGTGCGCAGGGCGAGGAGGGGAGGCTGAGGCGGCCG